AATCACTTGCTATGCATCAGAGAGCTGGACAATGACTAGAAATGACAGAAGGAGAATTGATGCCTCTGGGCTGTGGTGCTGGAGAAGAGTGTTGAGTATACCATGGACTGCTAGGAGAACAAACAAGTTCGTCCTAGAGAGGGTAAATCCAGAATGCTCCTTGGAGGCAAGGATTCTGAAGCTTCATCTGACATACTTTGGGCTTGCTGCAAGGAGGGACCAGTCATTGGAAAGGGACATCATGCACAAAACAGGCAACAGCGGAAGAGTCTTTAGGTGTTGGGGTTTCTGCTGTAACTAAAGTTTTCAACAAAAGGTGTTAGAAGTCAGATGGTGGGCCACAGGAGGGATATTATGCATGAACAGTAAGATATTGTCATCTGACTGCAATCTTTTGTAACCCTCATATGTTTTCTTCCTACCCCTAGAGTTTTTCTACTTGCTGTCCACCACCCTCAGCCCATCTACCTCTGCAAAGGAGGCTTATTTTTAAAATTTTTCTCTATAAAGACTTTTTTTGGCTGGTAAGGTAGAATATATGTGTTCTAGCAACACAATGGCTTGCTGTTTTATAGTATTTGTTTCTGATTTTAGAATGACCCCTCCAAAGGGAGCTCTGGTGGCCTACTGGCAAGAAGCTGCACTGCAATCCCAGAGGCGTGGAGTTTGAATCCACCAGATGTTCTGCTGGAGAAGGAGGGGCAATCTCCTCCTGTACTAGTCAGATCTGATTTGACGGTACATGCACAAAAATTAATAAAATAAAAATAAAAAAAGGGAATGACCCCTCCATTTGAAAATTATAGATTCGAACAGCTTAGAGTATGAGGAGGTGATGAGCAAATTCACCCACAAGAGTGTGAAGGGGAGCAGTGGAAGCTGGAGGCCCCAGCAGCCCACTCAGAGGTCCCCAGGAGCACGCCTCAATCCACAAAATAGGATACACAGACCCGTAAAAGAATTTTCCAGTAAATATTTATTTCGCCTTTTTTATTTACAAACTTTTATTTCAGTGTATTTTTCTGAAGTATAGTTTTATGCTTGTTCATGTTTTACTTTTGGCAGTCAGGGGTGGTCAAGATCTGCCTTGCTACAAATATATACACATCACTGGCTTTGCTGCTTTGCTCCTTTTTGTGGGTCAGGTTGTTTAGGAGACCTGGGTCTTCATCTTCCTTCTCTTTTCTTGACTTTCACTTCAGAACATCTGCATCCATGGACACCTGCATCTTATGGATTTATTGGCTTCTAGAATGTCACTCCTTTGGCCCCAGGCTTTCCCCCAAGGGACTTGGGGCCAGTGAGATGGTGACCAGTTATATACTGGCAGCCTTGGCTGCTCTGAAGATGTGTCTACCCAAAGTAAGGTAGCACTGCCCACCACATGGCACATTTGGCTGTCTTCAGCTCTGCTGATGACACCTGACCCAGGAGAAAGTTTCATGCAAATCGAACCATTTGAAGTGACCTTCACTGATTAGGGATCTTGCACAGTTTCAGTATATTTGAATGATATTTTAACACCTTCCCTTGAAAATCCAGCACTTAGAGATTTTATAATGATTATAAGGCATACTACAATAGACACAAACACACTGCACTTTCAAGAGGATAAGTCACACTTTTGAATACTGGGATGTGGAGGAGCTGGAAACTTACGATTCATCACCACTGTAGGTACTGTGCAGGCGTTGGGGAGCTTAGTGAATGTACTCATTAGTTAATAGCTCAAAGTGTTGGTTCTTTATATACAGAAATAGGGAAATCTCATCAGAATAGCCAAAATGTCAGCAACATTTAACTCTTAATATGCAAAGATTCACAACCTTGCTTTTAACAAACAAGATGACACGGACGGTAAAGAAGAGGACCCACTGGATCGTTTCATACCTCGCAGTGGCGGATGGAACGGGCCAGAACTTGATAGGCAACATGGCGCACATTCACAATTTTGGACTGACAAGGGTTAAGAAGGGATTCCAGGGTGAGTCTGTGGTGATGGGCAGAAGTAAAGGGGAGTTACTCCCTCTTGGAATCTGAACGACTCCTTCCTTCTGTTAACTCCTCTTGGGCCAAAGGCTGACCAAGTTAATCTACTTCTCATCCTTCACTCTACCTCCGAAGAACTTTCACAAGCACTTCTAGCAGGTCCACTGCACTTCCAGAGCCAGTCAGTGTGAGGAAAGGTGGAAAAGGGGCTTGACAGGCAGCTGGAGGGAGAAGGGACCCTGAGGTCGGAGCTCAGTAAAGCGGACAGTACACCACACACAAAACACAAGGGGAGATATGGCAATTTCAGGTTCAAATGACCAAACTCATAAGGTTCAAATGCCCTGAAAAGGTGTCATTGCCAAACCTCCACCTCATTTTAACACTTAACCTCACAGATTGTAAATCTCACTAGAGCTCAGCGGCAGCACTTAGGGCTAGATATACTTTTGAAGGTATAGTGTTCGATCTAACTACATGAATCTACAGAAATATGTACAATTGGCCTCCGTCCCTCCTGTGCATTGCTACCAGACATGTCGCAAAGCTCTCTGGTTGGTCCCCATTGCCTTAATATCCAAGTCTGAATTCATCCCAGTCTGCATTTCCTGGAGTGCCTATGGGGGCATGAAGCCTTCATCACATCCTAGAGGCCCAAAGCCCAACCAGACAACCAATATTTCAGATGTGCTCACAGCTCTCCTCCCAAACCGGGTCTCTCCTTGAGAGGTGCCCTCCGAGAAAGAAGTATTCCAGTGGCAGCTCCGTGTGTCAGAATGTGCCTTATATGATCCGTGTGTCCGCATGTGAGCACACATGTGGCCATGAGTATGCCTATGTGTGTGTGTGTTAGGCGGTGTAGGGGTGTGTGTCAAGGAGAGGGCAGTCTCCAGGTCCTTCCTGCTTAGCCCTCTCTCTTCTGGCCACGTTGTCTTCTGGAGGGAGTGCACAGAGCTCTGGGGCTCCAAATCCAAAACTGACCTTGGGGCCTGATACTAAGACGGGCTCCAAAAGTGACCCCTCCAGTGGACTAACCAGCACAGCCACCTCTAGTCACTAGGCCCATTCACTACATAACCCGCCTGCCTGCGGCTGCCACCAGCTCCACAGGGATTAGGCTTCCAAGGCACTGAGATGAATGCACGAGCTATACAGGCTATATCCAGCCTTTCTCTGGTCTCCAGCCCTTCTGCTCTGTCTAGGCCACACTGCCTCTCTTAGGGCAGCTTCCGGGCTCTAGAGAAGAGCCCCCAGGACAAAGCCCATGGTTCTGCACCCCCATCTAGTCCACTGTGTCCACTTCCTGTGTTTTCAGGGACCCTCAGACCACCTGGTACCACCTCCCTTGGTCATGAGCTTGGTTGCTGTGTCTTGGTGGCTTCTGACTGCTCTCTAGGCTGTAAGCATACACCCTATGCTGCCACGGGGGCTCGGAGAAGCTGCTCCCTGGAGCAGGGAACTGGAAAGAAACAGGCAGCCAGGCCAAAGAGGGCTCTCTTTAAGGGACTAGACCTAGGAATGATAGTGGTCTGGCAAGAGCCACCAGTAAGGAGGACAGGGACTTCAGTTGCTTTCACATGCAGTTAAGCCAGAGAAACCAACCTGCAGAAACCAATATCCATGCATTTCCTAACACACCCACACACAGCTCACACTGTCATGCACAAGCACACAGACACATCAACCACACATTCCCACATTATTACGGGTTTGTACACACGCTTATGCACCCATACATTGATCTATATACACTCTTTACATACAGAAATAGAATGACACCAATATACACAGAACTGTACAGCTTTGCAAATGGCACAGATACCCAGGTACACACAGAAACACAACACTGAAATGCAGACAAAGGGGAAGTGGCTGTCGGGGAGCTGGGGCAGCTGCCAAGGGAGAAGGCAGGAGGGAAGAGGCCTGGCAGTGGAAGTGTAGGCCAGTCCTACCGGCATAAGGGCCCGCTGGGTGAGTGCCATTGGCTTTTACTGTGCTTCGTCAGCAGAGATGCTCCAGTACCACGGAAGGAAGCCTGGCCAGAGCACTACCTTTGGGAACGGGGAGAGGGAAGGAGGGAAGAACAAGTAGGGGGACTCCCCACTCACTCGCTGTGTCCTCTAGCATGGACATGCAGCTCACAGGCCTCTTGTGAAGATCCGGTTAATGGGACAGGTCAGTGAGTCTGGAACACTTACTAGACAAATAGAAAAGACTAACAGAGAGATCCAGGACAGGTCTCCATCTGCTTTCCTAGTTCAGGTGGGAAACAGCATCTGACAGCAAGCAAACTGACCAATCAGAGGCAGATGGGGGCAACTTTCAAGGCTTCTGCAGCAGAAAGAACCACAGAGGAGCCCACCAGAGTCAGCCCAGAAAGATGCTAACTCCATCTGAGCATCAGCCCCTCAGCCTGACCCTTCTCATCTCCTCTGACATCTCCCTCTCCATTCCCACCTACCTGGTTCCTCCACACCACAGTCCAAAGAGCAAACATGGTGGAGAAAAGGCACGTACAAATGCTCCCTGCACTTCCATGACTAGCCCTTTGCCTGCGCATCCCAGAGCAACCAAGCCACGTTGCTCTCACAGCCCCGAGCAGGGAGTTCGAAATGCTCGGGACACCTAGGGAGGAAACACAGGAAGAAAAAGCATGAAACAAGCAGCTCACTACTGCAAGGAGACAGAGAAGCCCCGAGAGAGGTTTTAGAGCCTTTCTCAGCCTACCCATCTGGCTGCTGTCTGTCCTCTGAGCATTTCTCAGGGCTTTTCAGCACTTTCTGGCTGTAAAGGGCTGCAAAGAGGAGCAGCTTTTCGCAGGAAAGAAAAACCTGTATTCCATCTGCCTCCAATGCCTCTTTCCTGCCAACTGCTCCCGCCCCCTGTGCATGCAGAGAAGGGGAGGTTCCTGACTGCCCTGGGAACAGCTGGAACCAAGGAAGAAGGGAGAGCGGAACCCGAAGGAGTTGTGCCAGGAGCACAGCAGGGGCCCAGAGCCCGGTGCTGTGGGCCTAGTCGATGTGATATGCCCAGTAGGCGATGTTGAACAGCCCGAAGGCCAGTGGGAAGAGGAACCGGGACCACCTGTCAACTTTCGGAACATAATCGGGATTGAAGAGCTCAGAGAAGAGCCCTCTTTGGGAGCAGCACCCCGGGCTCAGGGGCCAGATGTCGTCAAACTCAGAGCCACTATCTTCCTCGTGGACATAGACCAGGATCTCCTCTCCAGCCTCCTCTAGGCTCCAGGTGTACCCACTCTCGGCGCCACCGTCATCGGACCAGCTCGCTTCTAGTGTGCACCCGGCATCGTGGTTGAGTAGAGGCTGCTCGTCGGTCTCGATCTCATCTGAGCTTGAGTTTTCGTCCAGGTCTTCTGCAGGGCTGCGGCCGTCAGTGCGGTTGCGGATCTCTGACACTGAGGCACTGATGAGCAGGGTCTGTGCTGAGAAGGAGGAGGGCTGACTCTGGCTTTCCGTAGGGGCCTGGCTGGACACCGAGCACAGAGAGCTGACGCTTTCCGAGGCGGCCAGCTGGGCATGCTCAGGGCTGGAGGCCGAAGAGCTACTGAAGCTCTCAGGGCTTGCCAGGCGGGCCACTGCTGGGATGGACAGAAGAGAGTCGACATCATCTTCAATACTCAGGTCTTCCCCTAAAGAAAATACAAATATTGCACCATCAAGGTCCAGCTTGCGCAGAGTGCGGGGAGTATGAGAGGGGTGGGGAGGGCCTTTACCATCGGTCTCGGGGCCTTCACTCTCAGACTCTGAGTCAAGTGGCCCAGTCCCCTCAACACACTCAGTGTTGTCATCAGTCTCTTGGACAAGGTCAACAATCTCCACCTGGGGTCTCTGGTGCTCAGGGGCCTGAGGGACAGAACCAGAGGGCGGTTAGTATGCAAGGGAAGCCCACCGCAGTGTCCAGCCAGTGTGTTCAGGGCACAGCCTCCTCCCTTTGCAGTGTGGTGCGGTAAACCCTAGGGGGGCCGTGCAGGCAGGCGAGGCTGCTGGACGGGAACGTACTGCCCACAGCCAAAGCCCCAGCGTGGCCTGGGGAATCTCAACTGCCCAGGACCGAGGGCTAGGCAGGCCAGGCTCTCTGGTGTCTTCTTCTTCTTTCAGCCTCCCTGGGACACTCACTCTTCTCTCTGGACCCCTATCCCTTCCTGCCCACCCTGGTTGGGGTTTATTGGTCCAAGGAGACTTAGTGCTAATGACTGTTCCTCTGTACTCCGTCCTTCACTTCAAAAGGGGGGATAACAAACAGTCTTAGCCTCTGCTATCTGCTGTAAAAGGTCATAGGTCAGGAGGAAAAACTGCCCATGAGGCAAACCTGCACTTCGTCCAGCATGACTTCCCGGAAGCAGTAGATGACCCTCTTGTCTCGCCTGCGTCGCCTATGATGGTGCTGAGGGCCTCGGCTGTAGAAGAGGTAATTGATGTAGACGTACTCCAGCAAGGAGAAGAACACGAAGAAGAAGCACACGATGACATAGATGTCGATAGCCTTGATGCAAGAGACTGGGGGCAGTTTATTCCGCATGTGTGAGTCAATGGTGGTCAGGATGAGCATTGAAGTCAAGCCTATAAAAAACAAGGCAGAGGCTTAACTTCCTCGAGGCTGATTTGTGGCCAAGCCGCCGGGCCCACGCCGACAGTTAACGGAGTCTCTGATTGTCTGTGGGGTGTCTCTGCTAACTTCAGCAGTGAGCCTGACTCTCAGAGGCCCGAGGTCTTTTGAAAAGTCCTCTGCCAGGCCCTCCCCTTCCATCTTTAAAACCAGCCAAAGCAGCCATGGCTGACACTCCCCAGTGCTCTCAGATCCCATCCAACCCTCCTGACTCGGTCTGACTGGACTTACACCTCAGCTGGCCCTAGGATGATCTTTCATTGCCCAAGTACAGAAATGTCATCCAGGAGAGGTTTGTTCTCAGGGAAGAAACACTTAGCCTCTGCGTGTCCTCTGTCCAAGGCTGCCTTGGCATGCTTTCTTCAGGGGAAGCCCCCGTGCTTTTAATCCTCTGGGAACTGTCAGCTATTGTTTACCTCTTTTAATTCCTCAGAAAATCCAATGTGAACAGCACTGTCTTGCAATTTTGGTCATTCTGACTGTACCCCTTCCTCCTCTGGAGTCGCTAGCTAGCCATTCCTGGAGGGCATCTCTACCAGCAGTACTCTGATGCCTTCAGAGCTGACCCTGGCACTGGCTGCTTCAACAGTCACACTGACTAAAGTGACAACCCACCAATGTGTTTATGTAACTGATGAGTTCTTGTGTCTTGAGTCTAACCCACCAAGGACCCAGCCCTTGTGCTTTTTCACACCTGTCTCAATCATCAGGCCCTTGCTGGAGGATGGGCCGAGCTCTGAACGGCTACCCGGATGTCTCTTGGCCTGGCCCCATCAAGGCAACATTAGTGTACAGTTACACCCTGTTTCTTGTTTGGTTTTGTGTTTGGATTTTGCTTTATTTGCTTGCTTTTTAAATGAAATGATCCAATTCCCTACCTAGTGAAGGAACTGAACTTACCAACTGTCACCCTGGCAGCAGAGGAATCGTAGTTCATCCAAAATGATATCCAGGAGAGAACAGTGGTGAGGACAGTGGGCCAGTAGATTTGCACAAGGAAGCTCTTGACTTCCCTCTGTACCTGGAACCTCAGGATTAGGCGCATGTAGGATCCTGCCAAGGAGACAAAGGACTGTGAAAGGGCAGGTGGCCAGCTCGGCCCAAGACAGACCTAACCCTGCACGCAACACCAGGAGGACAGTGACCACGCATATCTCAACAGACCCAGGTGGCATGGTGGAGGTGATGTAGGGTTTGCTGCAAACGAGAAAACAAGTGTGGAGACACTTAGCCAGGTCTACATCACTCTATGCTACATGGTATTAAGGCTTCACACTTTAGCCCCAGAAAGAGTGGGAAAGGAAGGAGAGCCTAAAAGGCACCAGAATCCAGAAGGAAATTGGTGAGGAGACAGCAGAAGAGGGGGAACATAGGCCTAAGTCGGAGAAATGAGAAAGGGCCGGCCAGGTCTACCTGTGTAGAAGTACACCTCCTTGCTTGTCACCGTCTTCCCTAGGAAGCTGAACTCGGGGATGTGCAGCTCCTCAGTCCCGTGGACAGCTTGCCCGTTGCCTTCCCAGAACAAGACAATGTCCTCAACTGTGTAGCCATCTAGCAGGAGGGGGAGCTGAGTCAATCTCAGGAGTTGGCAGGGGTCACTTACAACCAAGCAGTGCAGAGAGTCAGAGGTTGGGAGGGTCTACACTCTGGGTGCTGGGACACTGGGCAGGATTATGGGGGAACTAGGAGTGATGGGGCATGCTTGGGGAGAGAGCTCTGTCTGGACTCTCTTAGGAAGAAAAGCATAGCAGAAGGACACTAGCTTAGACAAGTTCTGTTACAAGGGACAGTTTCCCATATGTCTGTCTTCACCCTAAGGACATGAGGTCCCCTCACTATGAACCTGGCCTCCGACACCACAGGACATATACATACAGCTCTCGATTTCCAGCTTGCAAGCCTGCTTGTCCAGAGGAAATTTCTGCAGGTTCATGGAACAAGCTGCGGTGGTGGAGAGCCTGCAAAGGTACGGAAAAGGGGAATGATCGAGTGGAGTGCAGGGCTGGGGAGGAGGACCTGTGTCAGGGGGCCACCCATCTACCTCTGCTCAGGCTAGAACTGGATACTTGCTGGCTCGCTCCCTCCCTTCTTTCCCTCTTTCTCCTCCCTCCCTCCCTCCCTCCCTCCCAGAGAAGAGGTGAGTTGCACGGCAAGTGGGAGAGAAGGAATCTGTATATGATAAAGAAGCCAGGAGACTTGGCAAGACAGGAACAAAGAGCAGATGTATGGCATGCCAGAAACCCCCGGAGCGAGAGGTCCTGGAGAAGACAAGTGGAGACCAAAGTTCCAGCTCCACTGAGTGCACCGTCTCTGCACAGGCTTCCGTGGCACGGGGACGGCCCCCACTAGAGGGTGTCAGCGGGCAGAGGAGTTCATAGCAGCCAGGCTATGGGTGCATGCCCACATGGGGCGGGGCTCCAAGCTACCCTGTGAGGTCCAGGAGGGAACTCGGAGGGGGAGCTAGGAGTAAGAGGGGAGATATGTGGGAAGGAAGGTTTCCGCTAGAATCCCTGGCCTACCTTTCTCACAAGGTCCAGCACCTCATCCCCGCCAAGCCCTTACCATGGGCAAGGGGTGTGTGTGTGTGTCTATTTTTACTCCCTTCCATCGATTTTCCACAGGGCCATGCACTTGGTAAGTTAAACGAGTGGGAGGGAGGCCTGTTCCCTGGCAGTTTCATTGTTGTCTAACTTCCTCAGCCAGTTAATGGGAAAGCAGAGGAGAAAGGGAAGAGAGACAAAGGGGTAGAGAAACTCAGCAACCTGACCTGTCAGAGCAGTGGAGAGAATCAAAGATTATTTGAGGGAAAGTGATGACATTGGAGTTAGGGCGGGAAGGTGGAGACTCAAGAAAAGGCGGAAAGGCCACTCTAGTCAGAAGGGACAGCAGAGGCCAAGGCTGGAGGATGGCATGCCGGGGGACAGCACAGGGGGAGTGGGCAAGGGCCGCTGGCTAGGAGGAACCGGCGGCAAGGCCAGACGTAACTGGAAAGGGGCTCCTCAGTGTGCTCCGCAAGGTGTCTGAGGCAGGCCACATGGGGAACAGGACATCTCAACACCAGCTCCCTGCTCCCTGGGGACTCACCGGATGCCATAGCGGACTGTTCCATCAGGGTGAAGCAGAAACACACGATTTTCCACAGTCACATCATGCACAGAAGCATCCTTGCTGTTTAGGAAATAGCAGTCGGGGACCCACAGCTTCTCAAGCATCTGATAGTCCAGTGTCAGGTTCAGCTTGGTCTCATAGTAGGCTAGGCGTGGGTCTTTCCAGGTTTGCTGGAAAAACATGGTGATTGTATAGTCCTGGGGAGAGAAAATGAAGTGCAGCTTGGAAATTTGGTCCTACAGCTTTCTGTCATAGCGCCTGCATGTGGACATACATAAAACACATTCTAAATATGGGAGCATTAGGGAGCATGGATGGATCAGTGGTAGGAAGCTACACTGCAATCCCAAAGGCCTGCAGTTCAAATCCACCAGCTGCTCCTGGGAGAAGGTCGGGCAGTCTCTTCCCATGGGATTTCCTGCCTCTGAAAACCTGCTGGAGGGTCGGCTATGGGTCGGTTCCAACTTGTTGGCACACAACAACAACATATGAAACATATGCTCATGTATGGAAGAAGAATAAGAAAGTGAACTCTTTGTAATTAATAGGTGATAAAACACTGCTACGAGCGATTACAGAGCACATTCAACCCCCAGTGTTTTCCTTCTAGAACTTCTTTCCCACACTTCTTGAGTTTTGGTTCGCAGCACAACACACACTGGGGTACGCCAGGGTGTTAGCTGTACTATGTATACATGCATCCTACCGCCATAGCTTTCCGCCAAGGCCCATCATGGATCTCAGCAGAGAGCACCAGAGGAATGTCTATCTGTGTGTCATTGTTTGCAAAGGCATTTGACTGTGTGGATCACACAGATTGTGGCCAACCTTGAGAAGAACAGGGATCCCAGAATACCTAATTGCGGTCATGTGAAACCTATACTTGGACCAGGAAGCAGTCCTCAGAGCAGAGCAGAGCAGAGCAGGGAAACGCTGCCTGGTTCCAATCAGGTGCTAATGGAAAAGGAGGCAAGTGGAACCTACCAGGCCATAGATTTATAGACACAGAGACCCTGTGAGGCAACTCCGCTCTGTTCCAAAGACTTAGACTGGACAGCTGTACACTTCGTTTTGGCTTTTTATTTTCTTCACAAAATATGAAGTGTTCAAATCTACTGATGACTTTTCTGTTGGACTAATACTGTCTTGCTCTTTGGGGAATTATTCCTCTTTTGAATGTCAGACCTTTGTGTTGCTAATCTCTTAATCTACTCTGACTTTCTCCTTCACACTTATAATAGGCTGGTTTGTTTTGTGAAACAGAAGTTCCAGATGTTTTGGCTGAAAAGAATTTGGAATTTTAAATTTTAGTTGAAGCGATCAGGATTTATTTTTCTCATCTGTCTTTATTTTTAAATTTTAATCTATTTTATTTGAGCAAAAGTTTACAAATTTTATTGATTTTTTTTCAGGCAATCATTTATCGGCAAAAATTACCATTAACTAAAAAAAAATACCATTAATTGATGCAATTGAGTTTCAGAATATCTATTCAGACCCTTTTTTATATTGCTAGTCCATTCACCCTCCATCTCTGTTTATTTATTTTTTCTTAAAAGAAATCTTTACTTCTCTCAAAGACCTAAAGTCAGTATCCTACATAATCTTATAAAACTTTCACACTAAAAGCCTCTCGCCTCTAAGTCTGCAATCCATCCAGAACTGATATTTTATATACAATGTGAAATGGGGATCCAATGTATTATTTTTCATTCTGAGTGGTTCTAGTTTCCAAACGACTGTGTTTTTCTACCTCAGTTCTACTATTGTGGATCAGAACAACTTAAGATGGCCGACAACCTCATTGCCTGGCTCCGGCCTCATGGCTGAAGCGGAAAGCACTTACCATATTAATTTCGGAGATCTGTTCAATACTGGAAATGTAGATGGATATGCCCACAGGCACAGGGTCACCTACAACACACAAAAACAGTCATGTGTGCCCTTGGGCCTTATTTTCCCCTCTCCTGCCAGCAGGGAGGTAAATAAGCAAGCAGGCTTCTAGGCCTGGGGAGTCAAGCTGAACTGTGGACGCTGGGCACAGCTGTCTCAACTCCATCACTTGTACAGGTGGGAAGACTGAGGGCCACAGACGGGAGAGGATTCTGTTAAAGCCATTTAGTGGGTTGAGTTAGGGTTTTTGCTGTCGTGTTGTACTTCAGGAGGGGGATTCAAACTCTTGGGCTGAAAAGAAGGGGCTCTGGGCATGATAAGAAAATAGAGGTGATGATGCACTCTTTTTCTAGATGTTTTCCTGATCAGAACTGAAGAGCTAAGAGACTAAGATACAAGAGCCAAGGTTTGTGATGTGTGAGTGTATGAGTTTGTTGGTGAATGTGTTTAAAGGCACAGTCGTGTGTATCAACGACTATGTGGATGTTAAGAGTTTGTCATGTGAGTTCATTTTGACTGTTCATGTGAGTTGATGTGCGACTCTGTGTGTATGTGTGTGAATGTGCAACTCTATGAGAGTGTGTTGTTAGTAAATGATTGTGATTGAATGAGTCTATGTGATGGAGTTTGTCTATGAGTGAAAATGTCACTTGTGTCTGAGCATATGGAAGTGCTTGTGTGAGCCACTGTGTTGATGTGTGCAGGCAATGTCCGCGTTTATGTGAATGTGTGAATAGATCCGCGTGTAGTAAAGCACGGATGTGTGTGTTCTGTGTGATGGAGTTCTGTGTGTGAAGGTGTTAATGAGAGGCCGTACGCGAATAGGTGAAGCAGTGAACGTGTGAGTGTGCTGATGTCTGAGCATGGTCACGTGTGACTGTGTGTTTGTATGTTCAGGTGGGAGTGAGTGGGAGTGCATGTATGTGAGTACGCCATGTGAAAATAAGTGTGTGAGCATGTACATGTGAGCATGCTGGCAGATCGGAGGGATTCGAACAGTGTCTAGGCGGGTGTGTGAACACGGAAACATGGATGAGTGTGTCAGCACATGCCTGTGTGTGAGTTAAGGGGAGCACATGTGTCTGCTCTTGTGAGGAAATGTATGAGTGTGAGCATACTGGCCACAGGTATGAGGCATGTGTGAGCATGTTAATGGGTGAGTGTGTTGATGCAGGAGTATGAGAATGTGTGAACAAATATGTACATGCGCATGTGAGTGAGAGTACTGATGCATGTTTGTGTGTCAGCATATGCACACACATGTAAGCATGGTTCATGTGTGAGCATATGTGAACGTGTGTGTGCACGGGAGGGTATGTATGGGGTGAATAAATGTGTAAGCATGACGATGTGTGAGTATGTCTGTAAATGTACCTGTGTGGGCATGTATGGCTCGAGTGAAAAGGCACGCATGCTGTCGTAAGCATGTGCTTGTGATAATGTCTGAGGGTGAGCGTGTGTAAACGTGCTAATGAGTATGTGTACATGACTGTGATCATGTGCATGTGTGTGTGTGCGGACAAATGTGTGATCACACAAGGGTGAGAGTGAATCGGAGCACATGCTTCTGTGTGTGAGCATTTTGGTGTGTCTGGCCATGGAGCAGCTTTCTCGTGAGCAGCTGGATGTGTGAGTGCATGTGAGCAGACGAATGTGTCTGAGGACAAGAGCACACATGAGAGGGGTGTGCAAATATGCTCGTGCCTGAGTGATGTGTGCGTTTGTATGCTCATGTGTAAGTCCAGACAATCGTCACGCTAGGAACATCTGACTTACAGACAGTTCTGGCCTGCCTTTTAACTAATGTTATTTAAATATGCCCCCATTTTCAAATGATTGAACCAACTCTTACCAGCAACAAATGAATCATAATCGCTTTCACTTGCTGCATGTTATCTTTTAAAAGGCTTTGGAAATGTAGGTGGAGACTTTCCCAGTGTCAAGCTGGCTCCCTTCATCTACCTAAAGCACTTCTGTCCCCTCACCCTCTGGTCATTCATTATATCTATGCTTAAAGATTTCAAACTCATTTTAATATAAGCTGAAGCTTTAGCCACTGTTTTCTTTTTAAAATTATTATTATTATTATTATTATGTGTGTGTGGGTACCGTTGAATCGGATCTGACTGGCACAGGAGGAGATTGCCCCTCCTTCTCCAGTGGACCATCTGGTGGAGCCACTGTTTTCATAGAGCAGTTTCAACCCTCCCTTTCCCAACAAGATTTTAATGTTATTTTCTGTACTTTGTACTATGAAACAATTATTTTATCAATAAAAAAGTAAAAAAACCCACCCACCAAAATAACGGCTTTGAGCCCTTTCTTACAGTAAAAATAAATCCACTACCCATTACGTGAACTCTGACAGTGAGCTGTAGAATTCCAAGTCTATACATTTTTATAGGAGGAGATGGCCTCATCCTTCTTCCATAGAGAGTGGCTGGTGGTTTTGAACTCTCGCCTTCTGGTTAGTATGTCAACATGGTACACACTAAACCACCAGGGCTCATTTCCTCCATTAAAATGAGACTAAATAGGAACTGTGTGCATCCATTATGACTTGCCCATGAATTTGCAAGGACACAGGAATGGATTTCATTTGTAAGCTGGGGAATACCTGCATGTGAACATGTGAGCCTGTACATGCATGAATGTGTGAACATGTTACATGAGCATGTTTCCTATGGGAATGTTAACATGGCTATCTATGTGTGGGTATGTGTATATGTGCTACTGTTATGTTTGGATGTTTCAGAAAATGTGAGAGCATGTTTATATGTGCATGTGAATTTGTGTGAACATCTTTGTGAGTTGATGGGAGTGAGAGAGGAAGTGATTGTGTCTGTGTGAGTAGAATTATGTGTTTGTATGAGTGAATGGATATGTGGGGGGGGGGTGGCTTTTCTTTTCTGGCCTCAGTGTCAGTGCTACTGCCAGCAGAACTTAAATGTGACAATGGCATGTAGTAATCGGAAAGGCACTGTGGACAAAGAAAATGGTCCCTAGAACAAAGCCATGATTGTGTTTATGACCTCACACTGCTCTGGAGCCAGTCCCGACACACGCGACTCAGCCTGCTGACCTCACAGCTGCCTGCAGCCCAGAAGCAGTCTGCACAGGGATTCCAGGCCCAGCACTTCGGCAAGCTGAGTGCTGCTGGGACAGGACCTGGGGCACACACCAGCGTTCAAGCGATTGTGAACGGCCCAGCCAAATGCGAAGCAGTGGAAGGGCTTTCTAAAAATATAGTTTATTATTGCCTTCCAGGTTCCCATGTGCCTTTAAAGGAAGGAAGCTATGCCAGGCAGGCAACAGACCTGGCAGCGGCCGGGCACCAATGTCCTGTCCACCCCAGTCATGTGCCTCACTGCAGCTCATTCATCACCCCTCAGGCAACGCCACCCCTCCTGGGGGCATCCTGAGGACCTGAGATTCTACAGGTAAACTCTTCATTTCTTCCTGTCTCTCTTCTTACATAATTTGGTTGTAAATTCCTACCCTGTCCCCCTCTCTCACACAGCAACTGAAACGTTGCCTCTAGCATCAGCATGCTCACGCTCAGTATGCTGGACTGGACTGGGCGGGGCTGGGCTGGACTGGGCGGGGCAGGACTGGACTGGGCGGGGCAGGACTGGACTGGGCAGGGCTGGGCAGGGCTTGGTTGAGCTTGGCTGGGCTGGGCAGAGCTGGGCTGGACTGGGCGGGGCTGGGCTGGCTTCCTGTCCAGGATGTGCTGCAGTGGCTGATCAGTTGGGGACACCACCTCCGAAGACTAGGCCTTGGACAAAGGTCCTCGGCTGTGTTCTGTTCCCCTACTCCTACTTTCCACTCCATTGTGCCCATGTCCTCCTTCTCCCCTGATTAAGTGCTCGAGTGCCCCTCTTGTCTAAATCCTGGAAAGTGCTCCATTGTTCAGTCCAGTCAATCCAGGAGCCAATCTTTTCTCACATGTTCCACGTCTGTATGCCCACTTAGCTTAACGTACACTCCATTATTCAATTTGGATATCCTCAAGCCAAGCCAATCGCTGCCGTGTTGAACTAACTGAATTGAGTGAGTGCACATAGTACAAAGAAAGTGTGTTTAAGAACAGAATCCAGTAGGACTGCACCAGGGGGTTTCCAATGTTGGAAATGTATCTGTATGTTTTTAGAAAACATCTTTGGTTGGTTTGCATGTAGGCTGTGTACTCTGGTGAAGAGGACGACCTTCCCCGATAGGAGGACTGTCTTTCGTACAAGGGTATATGAGGAGCTGTGCTCCCCTGCTAGAACCTCCAACAAGCTCTCAAGATTGTAAATCCTGACAGAATCAGACCGCTGGTGAGGCGGGACTGGTACGCAGTTCACAGTCAAGTGCTTAACCACTGCACTTCTGGGGCTCCACTTAAACACCAGGTGGCTCCGTATCAGTTTGCCAGAAAGGTGTTTAAGTGAGGAGTGGGAGGAGAGCCAATGAAGTCGCCTCTCCCTGGACCCTCACTTATGCTTGGCGCTGCTGCTGTGTAGTGGAAGGTCATGGAAGATTTGCCTCCTGCTGTCTCTCGGCCCTCCCTGATCCCCAGCCCTGGGTAAGCACTCACCTTGGTGCCTGGTGCTTCATCTTCTGTTTTTACATTCCAGAAAGAGCAACAGGGCAAAAAGGAGGCATCAGTCCACTTCTATAACCCAGCACCAAAGCTCAGGGTTCAGGGTGTGGCCTTGGTGTTCAAGAGGGGCCCAAGGGTGCCCCAGTAATGCACCCTAATGGCCCGTTCTTCAGGGCAGATGCCCTTTAGCACCATGAGCCCTTCCGAGTGATCATCTACCTCACAATGCATCTGTGGCTGCAGCCTGACCACCTCTTTGCTTGTTCCTGTCCTTGCTCTAGCTTCTTGGGGTGGTCCCTGTTTTGTGGGGTTGGGCAGGCTGAGAGCTGGTGGCACTTGCTCTGGAACAAAGTGACTAAAGCATGATCTTGGAGCTGATAAACAAAAGCGAGTAGAGGAAAGACTTGGGATGTTTGGAGAGGATGAAAACAATGAAAGCTGGTAGGAGCTAATAGTTGGGGGGCAGAGATAGAAGGCCTGTCCAGCCTTCACACTGAGGTCTGAACTAACTGAATCAGGTGGGTGCACAGGTACAGAGAAAGGGTGCTTAAGAACAGGCGGGGGCGGTGGGGGGGGGCGGCGAGCAGAGAGAGCCACCCTGAGCTGCCCAGTATGCAGGTCCTTCACCTTGTATGGTCATTTTGGGAGGAGGGCTTCCCTCACCCTATACCGCTTATGTGTCAGGCTTGAAGCCATGGCAAGTAGATGAGGGCAGGGGGCCTCTTCCAAGTGAAGGCCTTCTGGTGGATATGGGCTGGCGCACCATTGTCCTGCTACCGAATGTCAGGGCCTCAAGGGTCTGGAAGCTGCTTACCTCCAAAATTTGGTCTCAGACGGCCATCATAGCCCATCAACACCCTGTCTAGAACCTTGTGAACCACAGCTTCACTTGCACAGTTTTTGCTGAAACAGAAAAGTCAGTGGTCATCGGTAAATGTCATGCTGCTCCTCAGAGAATAGACAGCAAAGAACACCCTGGTCACCGAGGTGCCAGCGCGCCTCCCCCCCCCCCACAGTGGACACTCCCTCCTCCACTCGCTCTCTTCCCACCGTGAGTCAGCCAGAGGCTTGGTGTGACGCAGATACCTTTCCATTCCCTCGCTCCCTCCCTCTCGTTCCCCCTCCTCAGCTATCCTCCAGAGGGTGGGGCACAGAGGCTAGAGCTCGCCGGTTGCCAGGCAGGATGGGGGAGGAGGGGAAACAAAGGAAGTGGGGCCCCAAGGGAGCAAAAGGGGAGCTCTGGGGAAGATGTAGTATTTCAACTCCCTGAGGCACCCCATCTTACAACCGGCGTGGACATAGCTTGTAAGGTTGGCGTGGGCCCTCCTTCCAGGGGTACTAGGGTGCCCCAGGAACAGGAACCTACTCAGTGAGCGGGGCCTCCTCTAGCGCACGGCATGGACACTTTGTGCTCACGTCTGTTTTCAGGGCACAGGGAGGCACAGGGAGGCTTGCTCAGATGGCAGAGATCCGGGACACTTACACAACCATGTCAGCTCAACTCTGGGGCCCACACCCCCATTTCCAGGAGTCCGCACCTCTCTCACTAAGCAAGTGCTTCTACTAAGTCTGTAGCAAGAACTAGCCTTTCTAGAAGTCTCTGACGTGCTTACCCGAGACTCACGCCCTTCAGTGGGGCAGTGAAAGAAGACAGAGCATCTCTGTCACTCTTAGGATCTCTTGGGCATTCACTGCTCAGGGAATGCCAGAGCCTGTGGTTGTCAGTGTGCGCGCGTGCTTTGTGTCCCCTAGCGCAGTCTGCGATGGCATGGGGGGGGGGGGTAGGTCGCTGCAGCGCTGTCTGCTGGAACCTTGCCCAAGTATCCTTAGGTTTGGGTTTCCCCGCCCCCCATGCATGTTCATTTCTGACTTATCATTTAAAAAATTATTCCCAATCCTCTTTAATCGTACCATCTCACTTAACAACATCCTGCGGTGTGTGCATGGATTATTCCCGGATTAAAGCCCCATGTTCCCGCCCGTTTCTTGCCGGGCATTTCATGGCCCATGTGCTAGCGCTAGGATCTCAGGATCGGAGGCCACCGCGGATACCCTTCACACATGTACCCTGTGTGAGCTACATGTCAAGAGCTGACTGAAGGACTGTATGAGGCATGAGGTGAATGAAGAATAGTGAGAAACCCAATGTATACGAACTTTGTGAGCAAATCAATAGAAAAGAATTCTTTTTCTTTAAAGAAAGAGCTGACTGTTTAACATCACTCCAGAAATTCTGGGACTGACATAAATTTGAAATGCAACCTGCATCAGAAAGGTTCCCCTGCCTCAACTCTCTCTCTCTCTCTCTCTCTCTCTCTCTCTCTATCTCTATCTCTATCTCTATCTCTATCTCTATCTCTCTCTAGCGCGCCCTGGAAAATGAGCTGAAGTCCAGACTCCAACAGGTGTTTCCAGTGTCTGTTTAGTCTGTTCCCTGACATCCTTATCCCCTCCACACACGTACAGGGGCCAACTGACATGACTGGAGGGAGGTTCCAGGACCTTAGCCCCAGAAAGAGGAGATAAACCTGGATGGGGGTGCCCTTCCCCTGGACTGGCTTTGGGGTAATTTGGCCTCTTGGAGGTGCCACTGTGGCAAGTGGAGAACCCCAGGGTTGCCTGCGCTGTTCCTCTTTCTCAGGTCCCTGCAGCAGGGTCACCCTCACGGTCTCTCTCCCCGTTTGTGACCCCCAGGGCTGTCCCACCCTCGGGTCCCCGCCGCCCATCTCCTTCCCCGTTCTGGCTGACGTCCCTTGCTCACTCCGTCCACCACCCCTCCGCTCACCAGTTGAAAAGGTCCTGGACGATGTCAGGAACCGTGGAGCGGTCTGGGTGGAAGCTGGCAGTGGGGTCCGGGGCACTGCCCTCCACCAGCCAGATCCGGATGAGTAGCAGGAGCACGGCGGCCCGCAGTATGCCGCGGATGCCCATAGCCACAGCGCTCGGGAAGGCTCCCGGGGGCCCTGGGCGAGCGGGGCAGCGCGGGGCGGCCTGCGGGCCCGCGGGTGGCAGAGCGGCTACGGCACGCGGAGGCGGCAGCCGGGGATGGGGCGCTCCGCCTGGAGCCGAGCGGAGCTGCGACTGGTGAGTACGGCGCCGAGACTCCGCCCACCGCGGGGCCGCCCCGCACACAGGCCCCGCCTACCGACCAGCTGCGCGGCAACCGCTCCCCCTGGCTCCGCCCGGGCCCCTCGAGCTTTTGTGGGCTTTTTGTTGGTCGAGGAGCGTGAGGCTTCGACTACCATAGCAGACTGCTTTCTGAAAGAGATCAGAACAAGGAGGTCCGGGTTTTTATGACAGATCAGGCCCAGCCCCAGAGACGTCCTCAGGACTAAAGCCCAAAAGTTAAGGGGGAAGACCCACAGGTCCTACAGCGCCCTTTGTCCCAACTTTGGATCTCAGGTGCCCGCTCAAGAAACTGGAAAGGGGGCTTCACCGACAGGTGTCATCGTGAGGTGGGAGCTTGTCCCAGAGCCAGGGAAGCAGAGTTAAGGTGAGGACCCAGGACGTTCACTGTGGAAGGGAGAAGATGGCGAGCGACAGTGTTTCAGAGCTGGGACCAAGCCACTCCTGGTGTTTTTGGCCTCACTGTGCGACCAGAGTGCACTTATTCCATTACCTACAACACTGCCCAGTTGAACAGGAGCCTCTCAGATTAGGAGGAAGTGTGTCCACCGCTCCTTCTCATCATAGCTCCTGACAGAGTCCCCGCAGAGCCCACGAGGCTAGTGGGCAGCCACGTTCATGAGCATCGGAACTCTTCAGGAATGGGACTTCCTCTGCTTATCTGAATGTGGAATTAGTTTTTTGTCCCTACCTTTTTCTTATTTACAAATCGAATTTAAAAGTGTCTCATAGTCTTCTGCCTTCTTTTTAACAAGTAGAATACTCACACCACATTCTTTCCCTTCTCTACCTTCGCAGCAAATGCTTCCTTCACCGATTGGCACAAAAGGAAGAGGAAGAGTAGTGGATCCTGCTACATACAGGTCAGTCAAAGCCATTCCTTGGTATTTTGACACTGTCCAGGCTCACCCAGGTACCCTATTCTTGTAGAGACAATCTTGGCTTGTCAAAGAAGGAAGGATCATCTAGGTCATTTTATCCATTCACCTGAATTGTACACATAGAGAAAGAAAGGTCATACGGTTGCAGAGGCCAAAAATGGAACCTTATTCCTGAGTTGCCTGCTTCTAGAACACGGAGTTCTCAAGCTTACAATGCCTTTGACTGTAGTTTTAGGAAATTGCCAGCAGATGGCAGTAGAGGAATAGATTTGTTTGCATGTAGGTTCCTAGCCAGGGTGTGTGTGTGTGTGTGTGTGTGTGTGTGTGTGTGTGTGTGTGTGTGTGTG